CTGATGCTGCCTGCATGACACATTGCCACCCCGAGTATTGTCAAATATTGTACAGAGGTATGCATCAGCCGGCCCAGCCCAGCTGCCAGATGCACGATTGTAAGTCGAGTGGACGCATGTCGAGCAGGTCGTAAGTCGGATGGTAGGTGTACCTTTCATCCGTGGACTGCTTGCAGAGGCAAATGCAATGTTCGTGGCTTTCACAGAGACCCACATAAAGGATCACTTGGACAACGAAACATGGATCCCAGGTTACAACCTATACAGATGCGACAGAGTGAACAGGCAAAAGGGAGGGAGGGGGGTTGGCCTGTATATCGCAGAGTCACTTATTTGCACAGAACTGCTTAATGCCTCAAATGATGTACGTAGTGGAAGTTTTAGCAGTAAAGATCGAGAACCAAAACCTAGTCATTGTGGTAGTCTACAAGCATCCGGATGCAACGTCCCAGCAATTCCAGGAACAGCTGTTGAAAATTGACCACTGTCTTGAAAATCTTCCAGCTCCTGCCCCCAACATCTTGCTCCTGTGGGATTTCAACTTGAGGCACCTAAAGTGGAGGAATGTATCAAATGTTGTTGCAGTGATAACACCAGGAGGCAGCTCTGACGAGAACTCGCACACACACAAGCTTTTAAATTCAACTTAAACCAGCAAATAATAGAGCCTACTAGACTGGAGAATACACTAGACCTCATCTTCACTAACAATGATGATCTGATACAAAATGTCACCATATCAAAAACAATATATTCAGATCACAACATAATCGAGGTTCAGACATGTATGCGCGGAGCCCCAGACCGACAAAATGAGATCAGTCACGAGGGAGCCTTCACCAAATTCAACTTTAGTAACAAGAACATAAAATGGGACTAAGTAAACCAAGTCCTAAACGATATAAGCTGGGAAGACAGACTAAGCAACACAGACCCCAACTTATGCCTAGAACAGATTAACTCTGTGGCACTCTATGTATGCTCAAGGCTTATTCTTTTAAGAAAAAGGAGTAGATGTAAAATAGAAAGAGACAGGAGCTCTCTTTACAGGTGACTGAAAATAATAAGAGCAGCTAAAAAGAGGCCAATATATCTGAAATGCGTAGGGAGACACTGGTCAGAGAAATAGCAAACATCGAACTAAAGCTAAAGGAATCTTATAGGAGTCAGGAATCGAGGGAAGAACTAAAAGCCATAAATGAAATCCAAAGAAATCCAAAGCATTTCTTTTCTTATGCCATATCCAAGTTGAGAACAACATCCACGATTGGGCCCCTACTTAAACAAGATGGGTCCTACACAAATGACAGCAAGGAAATGAGTGAGCTACTCAAGTCCCTATATGACTCAGTTTTTAGCGAGCCACTAACCAGACTGAGAGTCGAATATCTAAATGAATTTTTTACGAGTGAGCCACAGAATTTGGTAAACACAAGCCTATCTGATGTTATCCTGATGCCAAATGACTTCAAACAGGTGATAAATGACATACCCATGCACTCTGCCCCAGGGCCAGACTCATAGAACTCAGTGTTCATCAAGAACTGCAAGAAGCCCCTATCACATGCTTTTACCATCCTATGGAGAGGGACCATGGACACGGGGGTCGTCCCACAGTTACTAAAAACAACAGACATAGCCCCACTCCACAAAGGGGGCAGTAAAGCAATAGCAAAGAACTGCAGACCGATAGCACTAACATCCCATATCATAAAAATCTTTGAAAGGGTCCTAAGAAGCAAGATCACCACCCATCTAGATACCCATCAATTACACAACCCAGGGCAACATGGGTTTAGAGCAGGTCGCTCCTGTCTGTCCCAACTACTGGATCACTACGACAAGGTCCTGGATGCACTAGAAGACAAAAAGAATGCAGATGTAATATATACAGACTTTGCAAAAGCCTTTGACAAGTGTGACCATGGCATAATAGCGCACAAAATGCTTGCTAAAGGAATAACAGGAAAAGTTGGTAGATGAATCTATAATTTTCTCACAAACAGATCACAGAATAGTAATCAACAGAGTAAAGTCCGAGGCAGCTACAGTGAAGAGCTCTGTTCCACAAGGCACAGTACTCGCTCCCATCTTGTTTCTCATCCTCATATCTGACATAGACAAAGATGTCAGCCACAGCACCCTGTCTTCCTTTGCAGATGACACCCAAATCTGCATGAGTGTCTTCCATTGCAGACACTGCAAGGATCCAGGCAGACATCAACCAAATCTTTCAATAGGGTGCAGAAAACAATATGAAGTTCGACGATGAGAAATTTCAACTAGTACAGTGGTCCCTCGCTTTTCGTTGTTCTCGGCAATCATAAATTTCGCCAATCATAGGGGTATTTTCGTATAAACATGGACTCGCTTTTCATAAGTTGACTCGCGAATAGTAGTTCGTCTGGGACGCGTATGCACGGTGTGAGCCGGGGCGGCCTCCCTACCCAGCCAGTCTGGCATTGTTTACCAGTGAGTGAAGGTCCCCTCAAGTGCTCCTACGAAATATTTCATAATATTCCACTCATTTTAGTGCTTGCAAGTACTAAATAAGCTACCATGGCTCCAAAGAAAGCTCCTAGTGCCAAGCCTGTGGTAAAGAAGGTGAGAAATATGTACAGTGACAGTCTTGGGCCATTTTAGGGAAGTGATAGAGACGCCAGAAACAAGAGCTCTCTCCACAGTTACTTTGCGAGACAGGACTAGTGACTCTCAAGGTGGTCCAAGTGGCATTAAGAAACAGAGAAGAGAAGCAACCCCAGAGAAGCAATTGGTACCTGAGGTGTTGCTGGGAGGGGATTCCCCTTCCAAACTGTAAACAATCCAATCTCTCTCCTCCTCCAGTCTCCCATACACTAAAGGTAAGTGTTAAGCTGTTAATGTTTCATTCATCATTTCCCATTGTATTGTTTATGTACTACATGTATATTTCATGTAAAAAATTTTTTTTGTTTTAATGCTTCTGGGTGTCAGGAACGGATTAATTGTATTTACATTATTTCTTATGGGGGAAAATTGATTCGCAAATCGTAAATTTCGTTTATAGTAACGGCTCCAGGAACGGATTTATTACGAAAAACGAGGGACCACTGTATTCTGATGTGGTAAACATGAGGAAATTAAAACTTCATGAGAGTACAAAACAAATTCCGGCCACAAAATAAGAGCAAAAAACCAACATCAAAGACCTGGGATTGATCATGTCGGAGGATCTCGCCTTCAAGGACCATAACATTGTATCAATTGCATCTGCTAGAAAAATGACAGGATGGATAATGAGAACCTTCAAAACTAGGGATGCCAAGCCCATGATGACACTCTTCAGGTCGCTTGTTCTATCTAGGCTGGAATATTGCTGCACACTTACAGCACCTTTCAAGGCAGGTGAAATTGCTGACCTAGAAAATGTAGAGAACCTTCACGGCACGCGTAACTGAGATGAAACGCCTCAATCACTGGGGGCGCTTGAGGTTCCTGAACCTGTACTCCCTGGAATGCAGGCAGGAGATATAAATGATTATATACACCTGGAACATCCTAGAGGGACTAGTACCGAACTTGCACACGAAAATCACTCAACGAAAGCAAAAGACTCGGCAGACGATGCAACATCCCCCAATGAAAAGCAGGGGTGTCACTAGCACGTTACGAGACAATACAATAAGTGTCAGGGGCCTAAGACTGTTCATCTGCCTCCCAGCATACGTAAGGGAGATTAGCAATAGACCCCTGGCTGTCTTCAAGCAGGCACTGGACAAGCACCTGAAGTCGGTACCTGACCAGCCGGGCTGTGGCTCGTACGTTGGATTGCGTGCAGCCAACAGTAACAGCCTGGTTGATCAGGCTCTGATCCACCATGAGGCCAGGTCACAGACCGGGCTGCGGGGGCGTTGATCCCCGGAACTCTCTCCAGTTAAACTAACAACCAGTTATGAATGATTGGGAAACAGGCTCTTCCAGTACTAGAACTCTGCTTCAGAAATTGACTTCTCACTCCACTTGGGAAAGAGTTGGGGCTTTTTGATTAGTTTCTTGAGGATGATGATGAGTTCCTTATTTGGCTTGCCGCTGGTGTCATGGCACCTTGTGATGTCACATTTGATGTTTGTGATGTAGCAGCTGGTGTCACAGCCACTTAGTGGTGCATATGTGGTGTTTGGAACAAAGCAGTTGGTGGTACTACAGCTCCTGCTACAGTGGTACTAAGACCAGCATCAGCAGAATCACTTTCACCGCTTTCTCCCACATGACCAGCATTTCTAGTAGTATCATCATAGAATAATTCCATTGCATATTCTACATTACACTGCTCAAACTGTTCACTTCACTATCACATTCATGGGTAGAGACCTTCCTTCTGTGCCTGTGTACCTAGGCCAAACTTTGACACTGCTGCTATATTTTGGGTTTTACTAACATTACACTGTTTGCCACAAACATCCTCATTATTTTCAAAATCGGATAAATTCTCTTCAGAACATCATTGTCATCTCCAACATATAAAATATGCTAGATTTCACTTCTAGTAAAGCTCTGGTGTCTCCTTGCCGTTGTTTCAAAATTGCATCTGAGGCTGTTACCCACAATACCCTGGGACTTGCCATGTGGTCAGTTATTTCTTGGTCTCAGGAGGGAAACAGGACATAAACAAGGGTACCTGGAAGGTGTTCAGAGGGTCAGTACCCCCTCAGCCCACTCCATGAACAGGCCTAGGCCTAAGATGGCAGATGGCAGCAAATTTGAAGGCAGGAAAAATTTGGCATACAACATTGGATGCATGTGCCATACATCATATACAGTTTTAAGGGTTAAATATGAGAGAATATTCATTAGTGCTGTGCAAGGTATTGTTTAAGTTCAGAGTTTGACAGAAAAAAAAAAATGGGAATGGGCTTCTTTTAAACTTTGCTTTGAATAAAACAATCAAATGAAATATTGTGCTGATATACAGTACGTATCTGCAGAATACAGTATTAATTATGATTTTCTTTCTTTTACAGACCATAGCCTATCAGATTCTGTGGGATTTGCAGTTCCTCTTTCGAAATTTGGCTCTAGTGGGCGGCTTAGCTCTTGTTTTGGCAGAGAGTAAGAAAGAAGCTCGTACAATCTTTGCTGGTGTTCCTTCCTTGGGGGAGAACAAGCCAAAGACGTACCTCATGTTGGGTGGACGGATTCTTCTTGTGTTCATGTTCCTGACTTTAGTCAGATTAGAGTTCTCAGTCATGCAGGTAGGCCCATGAAATTTTTTGTTTAAATGTCTTAAAATTTATTGTCATTCCTAATATAAATTGAAATACTTAATTTACAGCAATTATGTGAAAAGTAGTAAATTACTTCGTCTGTCACCCATGGAATTACTGTATTGACATGGGGAAAAAATAAGATGCAAGTCACATTAACTAAAGCACCATGGTGCTGTGGTTTAAATATTTTTTCCTGGCTTTTGTATCCCTGCAAAGGCTTCTCCTTTTCTCCACACAGTTACTTGATAGTGATGACCTAACCAGCATGTAGAATTCTTTAGCAGATGCTTTATCTTTGTCACTTTCAAGTATTTAAAACAAATAGTAGAAATATTCAGTAACAATTTTGCTTAAGATTATCCCAAGGTAAAGAGAAATGAAGTGTCATAGATACAGTATACTTTTTTTTTTTTTTCCAGAAAGTTAGAGAATATGCTAATGTGGAAATTACTGTATATCCATAGGTTGTCACATTGCTGTCTGCATGTATTTTAACCCAAGTCTTTATAAATAATGCAGATGGGTTATTTATAAATTTTTGTTGGCAGTCATTACTCTTCAGAGTGTTCATATTTTGTTTATGGGACATGTATATATGGTCTTCTGTAAAGTTGATGGAACTCAAGTGTCAAATAGTTACTGAAGAAGCACTATGAGGCTTCTTCAGTAACTGTTGGGTGACAGTGGATATTGCCTGGTCCTTGGCTAGGAACTAAATATGCCACAGATTTCATGTAACATGTCATGCCATACCTTGTGTATAAGAGACTCGTCAGTCTAAAAAGCAGGGATGTGTAATATGGAGGTCAGGCGAGGTGCACTAAACCCTCAGCGATTTCACTGAGCAGCTGTGACCTGATAGCCTAAAATCACTTTAACTGAAATTTGAGGTATTTAAGGTTCTTGTATATTGGTAAGACAGGTGACTATAGATTCTAAACAAAGGCAAGTAAATCTACCTTGATACATCTTGTCTCATTCCATTTCAAATGGCCATGGCTATTACTGTGAATATCACAGGCATTATGTGAAAAATGGAGTGTACATAAATGAGTGTCTAACAAAAAAAACGTCAAAACCTTCTGTTCAGGCTGAGAAAAGTTAAACAGGAAAACAAAATACACCAGTGTTTCACGCGAGATGGGAAAATACTAGTAAGGAAAACATCAACAGGACAACAATATACCATCTCAAATGAACACGATTTCTCTACCTTCCTTAGAAAAGCTGACATTTCTGTAACAGATTAGATAAGTGCCCTTAATACATATATACGTGTGGTGCATATAGTGTACGTTACTATTATATTGTGCATAATTATTTTTATTATTTTCATCACTACTAATGCCAACTACCCCAATACTCTATACTTCTTTCTTACTGTTTATTAATTGCTCATAATTTAAACTACAAGTCAAATCTTACTCCAAATTAATAATATTCATTATTCTTACCTGTCCATTTAATTTTGTTTTATCACTACTTGTTTTTTTTAGTCACTTTTCATTGTGTATGCAATTAGTGTATATTCCAATTATTTTTTTGGCAAGTACCAAAACTATCTTTTGCTAGCTAGTACCAACTACCTCTTTTTTTTTTACTTTTATTGTGCAATAAACTGCTAAATTTTATTTAATATTACAAATCAGATCTTACTCCTAAACCAATATTATTTCATAGTGACCACCTGTCCATTTAACTTTGTTTACCATTACTTAATTTTAGTCCCTTATATTTTTTCCCTCCTTATTTTAGCTTTATATAACTACCCTAGTTTATATATTCACAATTGTTAAAATAATCAAGGTGCTATTCTCAGGTGCTAAAGTAGAATAAGTTCACAATTTTGCCATTATATTCCAAAGCTCATTATTTGATTACCACTTTATTGTTCACCACAACTTATATTAGCCCCCTTTTATATTATTATTTTATACTATAATTCTAACTTTAAAGAATTACCTTTATTGTACTACCTACTATCATATTCCCAACCTCCATTATTTGATCATCACTATATTTGTATTAGTCCCTTTTATATTGTCTCCTTTATTTTAGCTTAAAAAAAAAAAAAAAAAAAACTACCTTAGCTCATTACTTTACATTTGTTTTAAAAAATTCAGGTGCTATTTTTTAGCTTAAGACTATTTTCTTTGTTTTATACTTAATTCTAACTATAGATTTCACTACAAATCTTATGATTACAAGCATTGATTCCTGATACCAATCTCTTATTTAATGACTTAAATGAATCAAACATTACTGTAAATTACTACACTGCAGAACAATCAAAGCACTTTTCAGTGCCAACAACAACATAACTATCTTTAACTACAATATCAGATCTTTAAGCAAGCATTACGATTACCCATAGCATTACTAAATTCCTTACATGCCAATATGTCCATCATTACACTAACTGAAACCTGGCTAAAGCCTGATAGTACAGAAAGTCTATGCCATTCCTGGTTACACAGCCATACACAACTGTAGGCCAGACCAACAAGGGGGGGGCACAGCCATATAACCCACTCAAAACCAACTAGAATGTATCACTAATACTTGCACAAGGATGAACATGGGGAATTAAAAATAGCCAAATTCAAATCCAAATACCTACAAAAACCTCTCACATTGATAAACATCTACAGATTCCACAGTCAAAAATTAACCAATTTAGTCAAAACCTAGGAAGTATGATAACTGATGCACGCATGAACAAAGATCACTTACTACTCTTAGGTGACTTCAATATAAATCTCCTGCAAGACCAGGACCCACACGTTTTCTGAAATTTACAAACACAATAGTAAACTGTATGTTGCTACCAACAGTAACAAAACCTACAAGAGTTACAGAGACTAGTGTTTCCCTACTAGACCACATCTGGACCAACACCATATCCCCTTTAAAATCAGGGATAATTACAGATAATAAACCCCAGAACCCCTCCCCGACTTTCCCTCATAACTCTTGGTAAATTACCCCAACACTACTAAAGTCACCTTCAGACTTCACAATGAGGCAGCCATTAATAACTTCACAACACGTAGCAAACATTGACTGGCACACTGAGCTAGAAATCTATACAGATATTGACGAATGTATTAATAATTTTCTAAAAAAGACCCAATACCTCTATAACAAGCACTGGCCTAAAAAACTAAACAGATTTACAGCTAAGAGACTGAACAGTCCCCGGCTAACACCCAGCATTCTCAAATCCATAAATACAAAACACCAATATGAAAAACAGTACAGAATGGGGCACATAACCAGAGACCAAAACAAAACTTACTCGTCAATCCTAACCAGCCTGATAAGAAGGGCAAAAAAATTGTATTATGAGAACAGATTATCCAACTTACGAGGTGATTAAAAAAAGACCTGGAAAAAACCCCATCAGAAATTCTAGAACAAAAAAGATATCACAAATAGCGAAATAAAATTTGCAAAATCAGATGAACCCCAACTCCCACCAACAAAACAGCAAACAGACTCAATGATTTCTTCTCCACTATAGACAAAACCTTGGCCCAATAAAATTCCAAGCTCAGATACCCCACCAAAGACTACCTCACCGCAACTACCCGAACACACTGTTCCTAGCTCCGACTAACCCATACAAGTCTCCCTTATTATCAATACACTAAAAAACAAGGCAGGAGATTTAAATACCTTACCACCCTTTATATACAAAAAAGTGTCACAAGGGCTATCACCAATCATTGCAACACTCTTTAACAAATCCATTGAAATCCTCCACCTTCCCTACAGTACTCAAAATAGCAAGGGTCCCCCCCGATCCACAAAGGAGGAGACCAAAACAGAGTTGAATAACTATAGGCCAAAATCCAACTTACACCCTCTCTCAAAAATCTTCGAAAAATTAATTCATAAACGAATCTACTCCTACCTTATCTCCCCAAAACATACTCAACCCCTGCCAATTTGGATTCAGGGCCCAATAAAAATACTAAAGAAGCTATTAAACACATGCTAGAACATATATACACTGCAATAGAGAAAAAAGAAGTCCCACTGGGGGTCTTCATTGACTTACGTAAAGCTTTTGATACAGTTGACCATGACTTTGCTCCACGTAAAATTGTCCCCACTATGGTAAAAAGAGGCACTCCCTCAACTACCTCAAGTCATACCTCAGCAAAAGAAGCCAAAAAAGTGTATGCAAATGGGGCAAACTCCTCTGCAACAACCAATTACAGTTGGTGTCCCACAGGGGAAATGTCCTTGGCCCTCTTCTCTTTCTCCTATACATAAAAAGACCTACCAAATGCTTCGCAATTACCAAACCCACACTATTTGCAGATGACACTACATACGTCTTCTCCCACCCGAGCCCAGTCACGCTAGCCAATACTGTAAATACCGAATTACAGAAAATATCTACCTGGATGAGAACTAACAAACTTACACTAAACATTGACAAAACCTACTTCATTCAGTTTGGTAACAGAGCTACAGATGTCCCTCTTAACATAATGATAAACGGATCACCTATCACAAAGCTAACAGAGGGAAAATTCTTAGGAATCCACCTTGATAATAGACTCAAATTTCATACACATATACAACAAATTTCTAAGAAAATTTCCAAGACTGTAGCATACTATCGAAGATACGGTACTATGCTCCACAGTCAGCCCTCCTGGCCCTATATCACCCTCTTATTTACCCCTATCTCACCTAGGGAATTTGTGCAGGGGGCTCAACAACAAGTAACCATCTCAGACCACTAATTACCCAACAAAAGGCTGCAGTTAGAATGATAACAAATTCTCACTATAGGCAGCACACTCCACCAATATTCAATACACCTAAACCTCCCTCACCATACAAAACATCCATTACTTACTACTGCACCTATTACATACATAGAAGACTTAACTCTGATATTAACCCTCCACTCAAACATCTCCTTGCCAACCTCAACAGAACACATGACCATAACAAAAGGGCCCACA